GGATGATGAAGAGGAGGGGCAAGAAGATGATGAAGAGGAGGTGGGGCATGCACCACAACAGCGGTTTGTTGGGGTGGGCTTTTCTTACATTCGCACACTGTTGCCTGCCTCTTGCACACGGCTTCCAGGCGCCAAAAAAAAAGCCAGCAGCCAAAGATCCGCGAGCCAAGGCTCCCTAGCATACGTACTATACCAATATGCCTTATTCCACGGCATGCATACAATTTCCTCGTCGCAGGTCAAGAAACATTGGGGTCCACAAGTTCGAGCTCTGGCCAGAAGGGATCCACGTATGAAGCTGGATTTCAACTGTCTCGAAGGGCCCAAGGGGTGGCAGCCCGAACTTATCATCAATGATGATCTTTCGGAAATGTATGCATAATTTAGTTCGAGTCGAGTGCTAGGTCCTGGACAGTTGGAAGCGCGGGCAAACCATCTACCATCGGAGTCGTGCCGAAGCCTTACTAGGAACAGCCATCTGGAATAGCAGAGCAACCCCCCAAATGATAAAATCCTCGCTCAGGTTCGGGCTGTACAATGGAAGCTTCTACGTGAAGAAGGTTACCCCGGAGCGAGCGGCAACCATGAATGAGAACTTCAACATGGAGTGTGAAGCCCCCGACCTACAAATCCCCAGCCCAAACCCTAGACTCCAGTATCCCTTTATAAATCCAGGTCGATGCAAAAAACGGCCTCACCCTGGGCTGGCAACACTTCGAAGATCTCGAGACTGCGCCTGCAGCCCAGAGGTTCCCACAAATGCTTTTGAGATTGAGGAGTGGAGTCTAGCTTTCAGTGCTTGTTTGGACGTTGCCTAGGTGGAATGCTGCCTGTGTTGCTGCTGGCTGGGACTAGTTGTACGAGATGGCTGGTAGCGACGATGCATTGACTTCCTGGCAAACTGGTTTATGGACCGAGCAGCTCCAGCAAAAGTGCTCTCATATTTGCGCAACAGGTATGAATCTCGAGCAGGGCAGTGCATGCTTCCGTTCATAAGAGTGCTCAGATGCTTCGTGATTAGGCCTCGCGGCTCCACAGGGTTATGGGCTTTCCGTGATCTAGCCAATATGTGTTGGATGCTGCACGAAGTCACGCTAACACGTGACACCTTTCTGGCCTTGATTTACATGGGCTTCCCAACTATTCTGCTGCTCGAATGCATCAAATCAAGATACGACTGCAGGTGATTCCTGAACTCCATGCCCTTAACCCGTAATGCCCTGAGTGCAGGCTACACCTTGCCGACTACATCGCACAAAATGCAGAACAACCGAACGACTCCCGTGTCTTTCCCTTAGTGACTTAGTGCTCGGTCTCACGAGACTGTGACTTACTTACTTTTGCTAAAGAAATGCACTGTGTTGCTTAGGATTTGTACTGTCTGGATCTCTTCGGTGGCCGACGATCTGTGGAAGCAGGGTTTAGCTTGGATCTCAGATGAAACAATCAATCAAGTTGCCGGTCCTCCCTTCGTGTCTGTGTTCCTAAGGCGACTTGGGATACAAATCGCCACGGTCTTACTTTGTAACTTCTTCGACAGTACTGTACGCTGATGCACATTGCCTAGGGACTTTTTCGATATGGGGTCGAGAGAGGACGACAACCTCCTGACGACGCAAGGTCCCTGGTTA